TCCCCCTGCGGGGAGGGGGGCAGGGTCACCCACCGGGGTGCTGCGGGGGTGGGGGGGGAAGAGCTCCCCCTGCCTTTTCCCACTTCTCCCAGCAGGGGGCGCCATGGGGCAGGAGGAGCTCCCAGCTGCCCCGCCTCTCCCAGCAGGGGGCGCTATTCTCATGGTGACACGCCTCCCCCACACCCAGAATGTTGAGGAGGGGGCCACAGGAAACGTGGGGCGGGGTGAAGGAAGGCTGGGAGCTACTCACGTAGGAGATGGGGCCGGAGGTCTGTGGAGGGGTCACGCACACGAGATGAGAGGGGAGGGCCACAAAACACAAACAGAGGCGGAGGGTTAGTCGGATGGACAAGGATGGAGGCAACCAAATGAGACAGAACGAGGGGACTGCGACACAAACCAGGAATCAACACCCCCACCCCCACCCCGGCTCTAACCACTAGCCCCCACCATCCTCCCTGAGCACGGCGGAGAAGCCAGGAGTCCAGACGTGATGAAAAATCCTTGGAAAAAAGCACAGCCACAAAAAAGCCAACAATAAAAGCAAAAAGGCAGTTTAATGAAGCACACAGACACCCAAAATGGGGGGTAGGGCTATGGGAAGTCAATCAAAGGGCAGGGATACACTCAAGTGGCACCCGATGCATCCACCTGCCGGGTGCCCGGCCAGGTTTGGAGACTCCAGCTGGGGGCAGCAAGACACAGCAGAGGGGAGGTTACTGCTGCGGGATGAGGGTATCCCACCGCACCCACCAACAGCCCCTTCCGGCCACGTGTGCCAGAGTTCAGAACACAGATGCCTCTAGGGCACAGGGACCCTTTGTCAGCGCTGGAACGCGGCCCCTTCAGGATGAGGGTGGGATACGCAAGGACCCCTTGTCCTATGCTGAAGTGTGGCCCATCTGGCACAGAGGTTGGGTATATGGGGATGCCTCACCCAGCAGAGCCTCTCTGGGGTGGGACCCAGATATCCTGACTCCCACCCCCAACCCTCTCAGCACTGGATACCTCTATCCCTCTTACTATGGCCCCAGACCCCCCCTCCCAACACCTTGGTAACACGCAGGGCACGGCACAGCTCAGGGGCTACACCGGGGGAACAGTAGGTTATTATGGGCAGCTGGGGGGAGGGACCCAGAGCTGCCCAGGTGGGCGGCTGAGCTTCTGCAGGTGCTGAGGCCCATTAGTACAGGCCCTCCCCCACACCTGCCCCAGCACCCCTAGGTGCCCAGTGCCGGGCCGGCTGGACTCACCGGGACACTCTGCTCCTTGCGGGCCTTGTGCGAGGAGGCCACGTGGGCCAGATACTGGATCACCTTCTTGGTGTTCTCCGTCTTCCCTGCGCCGGACTCGCCCCTGCAACGGCACCATGACGGGCACGGGTCACGCCCCCGGCAGGCACCCAGGGTAGCCCCATGCAGTGCTGGGCGCATACACAGCATGCCACCGGGGGGCAGTGCTGCGCTGCACCCGCCCATGCACACACAGACGGACACACACCAGCAGGGGGCAGCGTTGCTCTGTGTCTCACACACACGCACACCCCCAGCAACAGCTGCGCTGGGCACACACACACACACCCCACCCCCGCAGCAGGGAGCTGTGCTGTGGACTCTTGCAGCCGGGCGCGCGCACACAAACGCAGGCAGCCGCATGCACACCGCTCGGGGGACTTACGTGCACAGAATGGATTGATCCTCTCGGTCTGTCGGGAGAGACAGAGGGGTGAGTGTGGTGCTGCGCACACCATCCAGCAGTGTCTGGGCCCCCCGCCCATAGTCCCCTCCTGAATACATCCAGCCAGGTGGGTGCCCT